CCCCAAAACCCCAAAACCCCGTATGATAAAATTTATTTATATTAAATAAAATAGAAATAAAGATAGTTAATTTGGCAAATGAAAAAATCTCAGACAAGAACTTAAAGAGATGTCATACCTTTAGGGAAAAAATAGTCAAAGAAGATAAGCCCCATCCAATCTCGTAGTAAATCTGTAACATCCAAGTCGCCCGAAAAACTCAAATACTCAAAATAAAGATAACCTCAAGAAACGGCAGAGATAAAGAAAGAATAGTAGGAAATATAGGAAAATTTATTGAAAAGATAAACTCGTGCATCAAGTATTAAAGAATCTCCCGCTCAAACTATGAAGTTACCTAAAACTCCTGCTTTCAAAGAAGAAAAAATTGCAGCCTATGTCAATTCAGCACCCAATACTGGTCAGAAAATATCCGCACCCAAAGAGGCTATTAAATAAAGCCACCGCAAGAATATTTCTGTTGAGGATGAAAAAAATATAAAGCGTACTCTCTTCAAAGTTGATTAAGAATAATAAAAAGCACATAATACAAACTCAACTTTAACCATGAATAGCAGTAATTCGCAAGAGAACTATTTTCAAGTCTAGTTTTCAACAATTAAAACAGAGCGTAGTAAATAATAAACAAATATTTAGTCTGAGCAGTCAAACAATATGAGCAAGAGGAATCAAAATAGTTAGGCTTAAAATTAAGGAAATATCAATATTTAGAATTCTTCAAGCATGAATAATTTCATCAAACAAGAAAATAATCATTTGCCTGTTAGCAACGCATATCAGGGAATGAATCAAAATTAGCGATAGATTAAGCATGAGTAGTAATTTAATTAGCAGTATGCAGTAGGCACCCGCCATCAGGGTTAATCGAGGGCAGAAGATCTTGGGTTGAAGACCAGACAAGATAATAGTTTAGGTGAGCTGACCAGAAAATTCATAGCACTTATTCAAGAATCTGAAAATAAGAGTGTTGACCTAAATGATGCAGCAAAGAAACTAGAGGTGCAAAAACGACGTATCTACGATATTACTAATGTACTTGAGGGCATAGGACTCATTGAGAAAACCATTAAAAATAAAATTAGATGGAAAGGTACTCAGTCATTACTTAATCATTCAATAGCATCACAATCCTAAAAAAATGGAATTTCCTAACACCAAACAAATCTTCAACAGCATCAAATAAACAATTAGTAGGCATCTTTTAATGGAGTTAATAATCATCAACTTGAGAAAAGTATTCGAGATTAAGAGCAAGAATTGCAAACCTTGATGTAAGAAGAGAAAATGGTAGACAATTTCATTAAGGATCTCTAGAATGAACTTGGGTAAATGTCTAGAGATAGAGCTTATGGAGAATTTGCATACTTAACATTCGAAGATATATCTTCTTTGAACTAGGATTCTGAAGATATACTCATTGCTGTTAAGGCTCCACTAGGCACTAAGATTGAGATGCCTGATCCTGAGTAATTGTTTGAGTACTTCTCAGCGATGGGTTATGGTGCTGATGAAATCAAGTAATATTAAGTGAACATTACAGCTTCGAATACTAATCAAGAATTAGGAGCAGTAGGAAATAATGAGATACAGGCATACATTATTGACGAGCACCTAGCTTATCATGGTCTAAACCAAGCTGGTAACCAGGATGTTGTGATGGACACTGAAGAGTTCTAAGAGGATAAAGATAATGATTGTAATAATAATGATGTTATGATTAATGATAACAGTTAAAGCAACGATAATTAAATTACAAAAACCAAGATCAATATTCTTACAGATAATCAGTAGACATTTGAAGATGCAAAAATTAGCTCAATAACCAATGTTTAAAGTAATGCATTTGACAGATCTCAGAACGAATTGAGGTCATAAGTTAAAAGCAATGGTCATTAACAGAATAACAATAATAAAGATGAATGTCTCAATGACTTTATGACTGATAACATGATTTTCTTCAAAAATATTTAGAGTTTATAAAAGATGTATGATGATGGCCTTACATCATCCTAGGGCCATGATTATAATTAGATTTACTCATTATCAACCTCAAGCAACACCATTTTCAATTCTGGAATTAATATGAATAGCAATTAAAACAATAGAGAGACTCTTAATAATGAGGGTGTTCTAGAGCTAAAAATGCTCTGACTTATTTATTCACTCTTATTTACTAACCATTAGTCAATGTTTTGTTAATTAATTTGTAAACACTTATATTACTCTAAACATCATTATCTACAATTAATCTAACTAAAATCATTTACAAACAATATTAACTTGATTCAACTCAATATTCTTCCATTAAAATGATCATATCTATCCCTCTCTGAGAGAGGAGTATTTATAGCTTTTATTTGAAAAGTAGAAGTACATCACATACAATATGCCACATCCTATCAATGAGAATCCTGAATACATCAATAAATATCCCATGTCTTAATCCAAACAAAAAGTGCCGATTCTATGTAGAAATTAAGCTAATTTAACACTTACATAGTGTACATGATACCTCTGCCATTGTATTATTCAAGAAATGGAAATATTTTGCTCACATAATTCTCAAACAGATAAGGACTGAACTCTGTGAGAAAAATTACGATTCCAAATAATCTATAATTTCTTATATTTTCTATCATTTTACATCAAGTAGATTGATAGTAGTAGCTGCATTTAGAATGGCAAACCTTAATAGCAATTTTACATGCTTAAACCAGCAATCATTGTTCCTGAAAGTCCACTAACTAACCTCATTAGTAAGAGAAATTTCTCGCCTACATCAAATTTGTTTCTGTTCAATTCTTATTCCATTTTATTTTGTATTATTATAAATTTGTATAAATGTTGATTTAAGGGGTTTTGGGGTTTTGGGGTTTTGGGGTTTTGGGG